ACAATCTGTCTGTGTAACATAAATCAGTTGTAAATAATAATGTATTCCCTTTTGTTTCTGTTCAGGTGGGATTCAGATACTTTGCTAAAGCAATTGATGGGGCTTACCTGATTTTCACATTTGCAGAGCCTATCTAGCATCTAGATTCAAGACCAGGGGTCCCCAAACTTGGCCACTTTAAGACTTATGGACCTCAACTCTGAGGAATACTGGGAGTTAAAGTCCACATGTCTTAAAGTGGCCAAGTTTGGGGACCCCTGCGCTAAGGTTACTGGGAGTTGTGGTCCAACACATCTGAAGGACACAACCTTGGAGAAGATTGTTCTCCATCCCAAGCATTTCAGTCATTACATCAGCCAACAGGATATGTTTCACAATTCAAAATTCACCAAGTCTAGTTTAATTTGCACGGGCCTGTCTGGAGGGGTAGGCCAAAAAGACCCTTCGTAACATCACCATAAATTCCTGGATCTTATCCATGGAAAGAAAGCACACCTTGAAGTAATGAGGCATAGACAGAACAAGGAAGACGCTATTCATAAACCTGGATTTCTTACTCCGTCTTGGTTTCTTCCACTTTTGATTTTCTGCAAAATAACTCAATGTGTCTATACCTCTATATTCCAGTCCTGGAAGACCAATAGTAGCTAAATTTCACATTCAAAATCTTTCTAGTTTGTCTCCGAAGACTGGAGAAGAAAAGGAAGAGCAAATTTATTCTCTCAGCAGCTTCAAAATAATATTTATCTCAGAGCCAGACTGTCACAGAGAATGCAAGTACACAGTATGAATGGTTCTTTCAAAAGTCCAGTATGGATTTATCACGCCTTACTTCAAGGTCGTCATCCGTTGTTTTGGAAAACTTTTTAAAAATTACATTTTACAAGTCAAACGTCTCTACAGTCCTAATAAATGAGTTGAGAGCAAACCGAACTATTACTCAAGTTGTCCACGCTCCTTTTGACAACAGATGGATTTTCTTTTGAACCTGTTAAAAAAAGAACACATTTTATAGTCTCCAAGATGTGAAGTTCTCTGAGAAAATGATAGGAGAGTTTTGTCATCATCCTGGCTTGGCAATGATGCTGCAACGGAAGAAGGAAGCTTGGAAAGAACAGGAAGTTTCAAGTTGTCCATGAAAGTTCTCCAGAAAAAATGGTAGTACCACTCACAAAACCTTCCATCTTCATCCTTCTTCTGGAGGAAATATTAGAAGGTTGTGAAGTATCCTCAGAGGAGGCTAGTATACAGGTAGCCCTCAACCTAACAATTGTTTGTTTAGTTCTAAGTTACAATGAAAAAAAGTGACCAATGACCATCTTTTCACATCATTGTAGTAGCATCCTCACGCTCACATGACCAAAATCCAGACATCTGACAATGGATTAATACTTAGGACAGTTGCAGTGCGATGCCCTTTTGGGGACCTTCGACCCAATTAAGTCAACAGGGAAGCCAGGTTCATTTAACAACCCTGTTACTAACTTAACAATGACAGTGGTTCATTTAACAATAGTGGCAAAAACGGTTGTGAGTTTTGACTCACTCCACTGTCTCGCTTAGCCAGAGAAATTTTGGGCTCCACTGTGGTCGTGAAGTGGAGACCAGAACAAAAACTGGCGGGAGCAGAATAAAAATATATACACATTTTTTTTTAAATAGAATAAAATTAAGTTATGTACAGTTAGTAAGTCCGTTCCTCAAATAATTAATCATTTTCCTATCTCAATCAAGTGATGACTTTTGGAAGCGTTCTGGACTCCCAAAGTTTCAAGAATTCCATACGACTGTTGGCCTCCAATGTGCACCACTGCACTAAACCATGGTTTGGTAACCAAAGTTTATTTTAATTAAGGACTGTCTGCTCTAACCATGCTTATAATCTATCCGCTGCAGTCAATTTAATTAGGCTATAACGGTTCAGTTCACACCTAATGCTAATCAATAACTAAGATTTACAAGGCACCAGATTCAAACAGTGATCTAAGTCATATTGTGGTTGGCTTGATGTTGGCTTATTGTGAAAGATGAACTTGGACACTGTGATTTAAACATGGTTTAGAGGCTCCTTTCTCTTGGTCAAGAAGCCCCCTTTAAACCAAACTGGCTTAATAACAATAATGCCTACCCAGAAATTTCAACCTTTTGGACAATGAATTATATTCTTTTGAATATAAAAATGGGCAGCTTCAATCTTTCGAGTGCAAAATAGTGTCTTATATCCAGAAGACGCCAGTCGCAGAAAGCTTTGAGGTACTTTCCCACATTGGTCTGCAGGCAAAGCGGTGCCCCAGAGCACCCCAATTTCTCATGCTTCTGCCCAACGGAGTCACTTTTCTGGCCAAGAGGAAAGAATCCCACTTATGGAAATTTTCCATGGCGAAATTGCTACTTCTGAAATCTGAACAAACTTTTAGATGCCACCATCCATGAGGACTAGAAACCTTACTTTATTGCAAAAAAAAAAAAAAGTGGGGCTGTTGTATCTTTCCATGTTTTTGCAGACACTTCTGTGAAGGGCCATCACAAATAGGATTGGTCCAGAATTCTTCAAACCATTCGCTACTTACCTTTCAGTTATTTATTCGATTTATATTCAGATCATATACTACAAGTAGTTTATAAATAGTATTAACAAGTAGAACCGTAATTTCTCTTTGCTAGAGGAAGTAGTTCACAATTCTAGTTCTCATCCCGTATGGCAGAAACAGGCAACTATTTTAGACACAATTATTTTAAAAACAAAAGGCAACCGAGATGCTATAAGTCAGTTTATCAGCAGCCTTAATTAACACAGTCCGTTTGCTTTCTCTCCCCGAATTGGGGAGAAACGCACCTTTGTTGCTGAATTCTGGTGATGCAAAAACACCAAGAATGGAAGCCACACAAAATCCCCGGACAATCCACCCCAATTTAAGAGCACACATAATGTAAAATTATTTTTTTTCAAAAAATTAAAATACGAGGGGAATCCTAAAAGTGCTGAAGTCCAAAAATGGACTAAGACAGTATACTGACCATGCTGCTAAATGAGAGTGAACATGGATTGATTTCACACTCTTTGAGAACACTTGCAAACAATAACCCATGGTTTCAATCCATCAGAAAGTGCTAACATATCACACAATGGAGCCAGGGAACAAGAATCAGACTAAGACTGGCCACAACTGTCCTTAATTTGCTTGAAATGGCTTCGGGGTTTCCGGCTTGAGCAGGGGTTGGACTAGACGACCTCCAAAGTTCCTTTCCAACTCTGTTTATTCTTGTCTGTTATTAATTCCTTTTGAAGGGGGAGGAAACCCAAGAAAATTCATCTTGCACTATGTTAAGAGGCACTCAGCTCATTCCGTACGCTGATATCTTCAGCTAAAGTTGAAGATTTGCTTTTTCTGCGTGGAAAGGTGGGAAAATCTCTTCTGCAGGCCACTGAACCTCCATCTTTCTAGCCTGATTGAGCTCAGAAAGCAAAGTGAAAGCAGGAAACAGGAGGAAGAGAGCGACCACAGGTGGGGCCACATGGCTAAGTTAGGTGGCTGGTGGCTCATTGTTCACAGAAGACATTGGTGTCCATGATCCGCTCTTTTGGCCAACCAAGTTTTCTGCACAAGAACAGCCAGATGGGTCCAGCAGAGACACGCTGTCCCAGCAGGAAACAAATCCAGAACAGTATATCAGGCAGAGATGCAACAGAGAAACTCCTCTGAGAGGAGGGTAGGTGGTTCTGCCATTTTTTCACTGCACACAAGCTCAGACTTTACAAATCCCAAGCGTGAGAAGCCAACAGAATCCTTGGGAATCTGGAGAAAGGAAGCAAATTTGACTGGGCTTACGACAGGGATGGGGTACAATGGCCCTTTGGACTTCAACTCCCACAATTAAGGAGGGCTGTGTGGTGAGTTTCCTCCTTTAAATTCCCGGGAGTCTACCTCAGCGAAGATCTCACCTGGAAAATCAACACAACCCAGGTGGCCAGAAAGGTCCAACAGAGACTCTTATTTCCTTAGGGTCTTGTGAAAGAATAAAGGGGAACAACGACTGATGATCTCCTTTTACCGGTCCACAATAGAAAGCATCCTCACATATTGCATGAGGGTGTGGTATGCTGGCTTGACAGCCACAGACAGAAAGGCATTACAGAGGTTGGTGAGCACAGCATAAAACATGGTGAGCTGTTCCCTGATACCACTAGATCAGTGGTCGCCAACCAGTGGGCCGAGGACCACTGGTGATCCACGAGAAAATTTTGGTGGCACGCAGAGAAATGTCACCCCCAAAGCACACACCCCAAAGCAATGTTTCTTTCCGCTTCTTTCTTCTTCTTTTGGCTGCACGCAAGGAAATGTCTTTCTTTCTCTCCCCCAAACTCCGCCAGAAATGAGTCTTTGGGACCCTGCAAGGCCTCCTGCACCGGCAAAGACTCGTTTCTGGCAGAGTTTGGGGGAGAAAAAGAAAGACTTCTGCAGCTTCTGCTGCTTTCCTTGCATGAAGCCAAAAGTCTCTCTCTCTCTCCCCCTGAGAACGGTGCTGGAGATGATATCCTGCAATCCCACATAAAGAACTACCGATCGGTAGGAAAACAGGATGGGGAATTTTCCTGCAGACTTTGGGGGGGATTTTTCCAGGGTCTCCAGTCCACGGGATTTAAAATTATGAGTTTGGTGGTCCCTGAAGTCCAAAAGGTTGGCGACCCCTGCACTAGATGAATTCCTTAGGGCTCGCTGCCTTAAAAGAGTGTGGGAAATCTTCAGGGACGACTCACACCCCGGCCAGCCCTTCTTCACTCTCCTGACATCGGGTAGGAGATAGAGAAGCACAGCCAGCCACAGCAACAGGCTGAAGAACAGTTTCTACCCGTGGGCTGTCAGACTCCTGAACGGAAAATAACTTGATGTCAACATAGTATGATAGACTTGCAGAGCCGGGGCGCTGTGCAACAAGGATACATGGTATAATAAGATTGGGACTGGGTTAGGGACTTCTGTCCTCACTGTGAGTTGTGTTTGGGGTGGTGGTGGTACACAAAGGGAGGCTCAGCCAATCTCATTGCACACATGTTGTACTCCGACAATAAAGGTAATAATTCCATGCTGGCTCAGGAATTCTGGGAGTTGAAGTCCACAAGTCATAAAAGGGCCACCGTTTCCCTCTCTTCTGGCTTCAAAGGATAACTTTTGACTGAAACCAGGACAGTGTGTTTTTTAGTCATCACCATTTAAGCAAAACTGTTGTTCCCTCTCTCTGCAAAAATCAGCCTAGGGAGAACTGTTTTCACCCAATACTGCTCACAAACCTGAACGTGTTAAAGACAGACGCTTGCCGAGGGTGCGTCAGAATCAACAAGCTGAGAATCTGCTCCGTGGAGGTTCCCCGCTGATGCCCTGAACGATTCAGGCCTTTCCATCTCTTTCCTTTTCAGGCGTAGTGGTTTGTCCGTCACGATGCTCACCCCTCAGTAATTTTTTTCCCCGTGTAGAAGGTGCTTCCAAAAAACAGAGAATCGTGCAGAAACATAGCACTATCCTCTCTAAAGATAAGACCTTCTTTTTCAAGGACTAAAAACTTCTAGCAATAAAATCCTTAGGAGCAAAGTGTGTTCCAGAAGCCAAAATGCGAAGAAACTTCTCAGCATCCAGGAACAAGCCGTGACGAGGTCGTGCACAACACAACGTGCCCAATGTGCAAGGGCCAGGAATGAAGAGAGCTGCTTCATTTGGGTGACGTTAAGAACGGGTGCTGCTTTGTGCACACCGACACATCCCCTGGGATTGCCTGCGCATCTCAGCCATCCCAAGCCTGGGGAATATACTCATAGGTGATTGTTAAATACATGGTCGAACTTCTCTGTGGCAGCAGTCATGTTGAAGCGCGCGGCTTTCCAACGGAGGGAAAAATGGAGACAACTCTTCAAAACAAAATATTTTTCCACCGTCCTGTTCCAACACAACATCCCAAACTCCCATCTCTCCTGGCACCCTTTAGCTTATCCACAATACTCAACCACAGTATTCCCCGTTTTTGTGTGTGTGTTCCAACCCCCTTTCGCGGTCCTGTTAAGCTGCTAGTCCTCAAGATAAAAAGACGAAACACAGACAGACAGAAAGACAACCTGACAGACAATTTTGCATTTGCAAGTTTCTGGCGGAAGAGCCGCCCTCGATGCTCTTCCCCCCCCCCCCACCGGTCCACGGTTCCTTCGAGGGCCCCTCACTGCCGCCCGTTGTTCTCTGAAGCCTGGCTGGGGGCTCTGCTCTCCGTCTGGGACGAGGTGCCTTCGAAGCGCTGCGCGGCGATGGCGGCCTGGTGAGACATGCTTTTCCTCACGATGTCCCCTTTGCGCCACAACACTACCTCCTGCGCCCCAAAGGAGAAGAAGAAAGATAGGACAACCTCAAACGTGCTAATCTAGAAGAGGAAGCTTAGGACTACATCTCCCATCGTTCTGGAGCCTGGCTGTTCTGAAAAACTCTGGGCAGGGGCAGCAATGTGCACCAGAAGCCTCGCTCTGCATTAAGCAGGGAGACACTAGAGAGTAAATGCATGGATATCAGGGATGGGATTCAAAAAATATTTTTACCACCGGTTCTGTGGGTGCGGTTTAGTGGGTGTGGTGTGGCTTGGTGGGTGTGGCAGAGGAAGGTTACTGCAAAATCCCATTCCCTCCCCACTCCACTAACCTGCTTTCCAGCTCCGTTCTCCTGTGCAGGGCAACAAAAGAAGACCCAGCCGATAAGCTGGGACTCGATGGGAGGCAGAGAATAGATGGGGTTGGCGGGGCCAGTCTGCTACCGGTTTTCCAGAACTGGTCAGAACTGGCTGAATGCCACCTCTGATGGATATCCTTAAATGTCAGCAGGAAATCAACTCCATAGGTAAAGGTTCCCTCACACATACGTGCTAGTCGTTTCCGGCTCTAGGGGGCGGTGCTCATCTCCATTACTAAGCTGAAGAGCCAGCGCTGTCCAAAGACGTCTCCGTGGTCATGTGGCCGGCATGACTAAACACCAAAGGCGCACGGAACGCTGTTACCTTCCCACCAATAGTGGTCCCTATTTTTCTACTTGCATTTTTTTTTAACATGCTTTTGAACTGCTAGGTTGGCAGAAGCTGGGACAAGTAACGGGAGCTCACTCCATTATGCGGCGCTAGGGATTCGAACCGCCGATCTTCCTGATTGACAAGCTCAGCGTCTTAGCCACTGAGCCAATCTGATTGTGCTGGACTATAAAGGTAGTCCTCATTTAAGAACCACTCACTTAGCAAAGGAATGGCAGACCTTCCACGCCAAAGGTATTTATGACCCGGATTCAGGATTATGATGAAGGCACACAATTCCCCAGATCATTGGCTAACATTTATGGATGGTTGCAGTGTTCTGATGGCATGAATTTTGGCCAGAAATCAGGATTTTGGGTCCATTTAGGGCAATAAACGCCCCTAGGACTACATCGACCCGTTTTACAACGGTGGCTTTTGCTCAACCAGCACAAAAAAAAGGGTCATAAAATCATGTGAGTCAGGATACTTGACTTACAATCGTCTTGACTTATAATGGGAATTCTAGGTTCGATTATGATTGGCTGGAGGGGGAATTCTGGGAGTTGAAGTCCACTCAGCTTCCAGTTGCTCAGGATTTGACCCCTGGCCCAAATCCCCCCCAAGATAATTCGGTTTCCTCACCTGCTGTTTAAAATAACGCCTTTCCTCCTCATCAATTAGCACCAGATTGAGGTAATAGCGCACCGAGAACTTCTTATTGATGTCCCTCATAGTGGGAGTTAGTTCATAGCCAGCCAGGAAGAGCCGAATTGGGATGGACTCTCCTGCAAAGGAAAGGAGAGGCAGTTAGCCAACTGAGTAGTATTATTGTGCTTTTATCCTTCTTTTATATATTTTAGAGGTCCTTGGTGCTCTCCGGGTTTTGTTGTTTTCTTGCAGACCTTTCATTACCAAACTAGGTAACATCATCAGTGCTGGGAGGGAGTGGGAATTTGCTGTGTTTATATACCCCACTCCTAGCAATGATATTATCTAGTTTGGTAATGAAACATGTGTAACAAAACCACTAAGCTCAGAGAGCATCAAGGATCCTTCATTTCAACCCTGAGCTACAAATATTCTCCTTTATGTATTTATACAGAGAGAGAGAGAGAGAGAGAGAGAGAGAGAGAGAGAGAGACAGAGAGAGAGAGACAGAGACAGAGACAGAGCTGTCTGGACTGGATAAAAATACATACACAAAAAAACCCATTTTTTTCTTATTATTCATTTATTATTTATGCTTAGTAGTTATTTCTGTTTTATTTATTGGCTTCATTTTAATTTTATTATCCAGTGATGGCTATTTTATTTTTATTGGCTTCATTTTGATTTTTATTATTTTTTTAGCACTCAACTTTGTTGAGGAATTTTGACTGTAATAGGAAAATATCAAAATACGGTTTTTCAAATATACATTTCTTTTATTTATGCGTCACTGTGCTTTTATTCTTATATTTATTTTACATTTTACTTATGTAGATATTATATAATTATATACAATATTTAAAATAAAATAAAAAATTAAGTCCAGGCGGTGCCCATACCTAATATTCCTACCTCCTATAATCCTGAAGCATTCATTCATTCATTTATTTATTGAATTTATATTGCTGTCTATTCGCCCATGGATTCGTGGCGGCTTACAGAATATAAAACCATATTTAAAACAATAAAAACTAACAGTAATCAAATAAATTAATAAAGTGTAATATAACAAAATCAGCCCCCAACTCCTACCCTCTGCCCGGCAACAGCACTTCATACGAGCCATTTAATGGACTCCATCCCGCTCTGCGTTCCCCAGGCCCGCTGGCAGAACCAGGACTTCAGCGCCTTCCGGAAGAGTGTTAAGAGTGACAGCCATTTTAATCTCTAGGGGGATGATGTTCCAGATAGAGGGAGCCACCACGGAGAAGGCCCTTCTTTTGGGTCCTGCCAGGTGTATCTCCCTCAGGGATGGGACCCGCAACATTCCCTGCCTCTGACGGATCAGGTAGATGTAACCGGCAAGAGACGGTCCCTCAGATAACCTGGTCCCAAGTCATGAAGGGCATTAAAGGTGACAACCAGCACCTTGAATTGCACCCTGGAAGCAAATCGGCAGCCGATGCGGCTCCCGCAGGAGAGATATTACATGTGTACATCGAGGTCTGAACAAAACCATGCGGGCCGCTGCATTTTGCACCAACTGGAGCTTCCAGATGCTCTTCAAGGGCAGCCCCATGGACAGCGCGCTGCAATAGCGTGCCACAAACAGGATATTAAGATGGTGAGGAAAAGAGGGGTTGGCTTCCTCTCTTCCCACCACTGGCCACAAAGCCCTCGAAAGGCCCACCATGGAGATGACTCCTCCAGCTCACCTCTCACAGGGGCTCCGTCCATAATCTCATATTTGGCAATGGTGTCGTTTTCGTGGTAGACGTTGGGCCCCGTGCCAGTGGTTTCCCTCTTGATGATGTCAATCTCCATGTGTTTGATCTTGATCCGGACGAGAAGGAAGTATATTTTCCCTACGATCACGTCTTTTAAGTGGTACCTGGAAGAGATGGTTATAGATCCATGATGGCGAACTTGTGGCACGCGTGGACAGCTGGTCTTCGCGAGCACTGTAAAAGGGCCCGAGGACCAGCCAAAAAACAGGCCATTTCATCACTAGTTGTTCTTTTCATTGAACGAAGCATACCCAATTGCTGTGACCGTTCTTCACATGTTCCTTGGCTACATCACCAACTATAAGACTCTAAGAAGTGCAGCAGAAGCCAACTTACTTGGATTTGTTGTACTCAAACTCAATGTGTAGGCAATCTTCAATCCCCACCTCCATCTTAATGGAGGAATTGAGCTCCGGATACGTGCTAAGGGTGTGCACCACAATGTCCATCTCTTTCACCACGTCATTCAATCTACGGCTCACGGTGGCCCGGAGGAAGTACCTGAGAAAGGGGGAAAGGTGGATTAAGATGCATCTAAGAAAGTTTATCATCATCATCTTCATCTAACAACCACATAATCCCTTGCGGGGTGGAGTCTGGACAACTGAATGGAGCTAGTAGTGTTTTCTGGCCAGATGCCCTTCCTTTTGCCAATGCGGAGTTTTGTTCAGCAGATATATTCTCATTGTGCCCAGAGAGAAATATCTGCCTCTACCCAGGATCGAACTCACAGCCTCCTGATTGTGAGGCAAGAGCTCTACCTCTAGGCCAACGTACCACTCCTTTCTAAGCAGGTTTATCTCCTGAGGGAAAAACATTCACTTGTGGAAATGGAACTCACCTCAGCTTCACATTCTGCCCAGTGTACGATTCATACGGTTTCTCCACATGGGTGAATTCAAAGTCAAAAGTTTGTGACTGGGTGAATTCACCAGGGCGGGCCAAATCTTTTACCAGCGACACAAATTCATGATGGTTCCCTCGGTCGTAGTATAATTCTAGGAGGGAAATACTCTCGATTAAAAAGGATACTTCCATGTTAAACAAAATTAAAACAGCAACATCAATAGCACTTAAGACTTATATATCACTTCATAGTGCTTTACATCTCTAAGTAGTTTTTTAATGTCAGCCTCTTGCCCCCAACAATCTGGGTCCTCATTTTAGCGATCTTGGAAGGATAGAAGGCCAAGTCAACTTTGAGCCAGTGAGAATCAAACTCCTGACAGTGAGCAGAGTTATGCCTGCAATACTGCATTCTAACCACTGCGCCACCATGGCTCTGATGCCACCTTGATATCACCATGACATCCCACCCCTTTAAGAAACAATGTCGGGTGGGGGAAAAAAAACCAGAATATTTTGGAGAAAACTTTCCATCAAGTTATTCTGTTGTGCTGATGTCTTTTCCCTTCCCCAGGTTTAGTTTTGGCCAAGATGACACAAAACAGTTAGTAGTGGAAGGAAGGAACAGCTACAAATTAGGTCACACAAATGGATTCAGTTCTGAGCTATTATATAAAAATTGTTTACTGAGCCACATACACACACATACACACACACACACACAGAGAGAGAGAGAGAAGGCATTTTGATTTAAGACGTTGCCAACTGTTTTCCCTGGGAATCCAGAGTGCTGCGTGAATAATTGAACTAAAGTCAAATGCCACTGAGCGGTCGTATCTTAAATTACGCAGCATTTTAATAAAGCAAGCTTTACAGAAAAGGTTGCTCGCCCATCTAAATCAAGCCTGGTGCATATATTCACTACTATTCCATCTATCTAGATCAACCTGAATTAATAACCACTTACGTAGTTTGCATTAGAATTCTTTCCTATTACCTTTCTTTTTTAATTAGGGCTGAGAAGATTTGAATCCTGAACTTTTTTAAACACATGCTTTGTTGCTCAGCTATGATTCTCCTTTCCCTCCCCACCCAAAAAACAACAGTTATCCATCATCTAAGCCAGGAATCTCAAAACTTGGCAACTTAAAGACTTGTGGACTTCAAGTCCCAGAATTCTTCAGCTAGCTGGCTGGGGAATTCTGGGAGTTGAAGTCCACAAGTCTTAAAGTTGTCAAGTTCAGAGACCTCTGATCTAAGCCATTGATAGCAATTTACTCTTCCCCAGTTAAGATGCTGTGATATTCTATCATGGAAGAGTGAAACAGAATCAAACAGGGATTCTGCTGCATTCAAGTTCTCCCTGATAAAATAAAAACAAAGAAGATTTACTGGGGGAAAAGTTCAGCAAATTTGCACAAGAGATATGTGTGACATTCAAAATTGCCAGTTGGCATTTTCAAGATAATGAATAGGTACTTGGGGTAAACTCTCAGATGTGAGATATATGTGTGTGTGTACGTGTGCGCGTGCAGCACACTGGTGAGCTTCGAAGATGGACACAGGATGTCCATCATTCCACGAATATAAAATAAAAACTCAACCCAAAGTGTTATTTATTTATTTTTCACATTTTTGAACCGTCCATCTCCTTTAGAGATGAGGTTAGAAAGTTTATGTTCTTACAAAATTTAACGATATAGCTCAACAAAGTCTAAAATTAACATGGGAAAACGGTGGTTCAGCCTAAAGTGTTATCTCCAAAAGCGATATCCATTGTGAGATAACATTAAGATAACCACGAATCATAAAAATTTGTTCTGCAACTAAATCTCAGCCGTAAACTGACCTTAAAAGAAATGATTTTTCTTTAAAGCCAAGCTATCTCTAACAAAAATTTAAGACTAGCAGTAATCATAAAAACACTGAAATCTGAAAACTTATCCACTCCTTAAAAGTGCAATTTAGACCTGAAGCAACCTAATCTAATCCAATAGAACATCATTTATTTTACCTAAACTAAAAGTGAACGTCAACACCAGTAACCATAAAAAGTCACCTTAAAGCTAATCCAACACCCATGCCAAATTGAACCAGTCTACAAGGAAACTCTCAACCTGACTTGACTCTAAGGTAGGCATGTCCAACCTGGACAACTTTTTTTTAACTGATTTTATATAATTTTTATTCTAGAAAAAAAGCCATTTATTTGACATACATTTAAAACAGACAAATCAACCTGGACAACTTTTAAGACCAATGCTCAGAATCCCCTAGCCAGCAGGCTAACTGAGGAATTCTGGGAGGTGAAGTTTACAAGTCTTAAAGTTGCCAAGGTTGGACACCCCAGCTCTAAGGCATAGTACTTTTGCTGCAAAGCAACCTTAGCAAGCTACCCTTTCTGTAGTCAGAATTAAAAACTGCAATCATTATAAAAACACACCCCAAATCTCAAACTCTCTTTAAATTTAAATCCCCAAAACTAAACAGATTTTCCATCCTAAGAGTTACCTACTCTATTCTGCCTGTCAAATCTTTTACCAAGTTTAAGTGATGTCCTTTGATGGTAATCCGGAAGGCACCAAAAGGTGGCTCAGAAGTGTCCTCCTGACTCTTTTATAAGTAGTCCTCATTTAGTGGCCACAATTGGGACCAACAACTTGGTTATTACGCAAAGTGATTGTTAAGCAAAACTGCAACCATGCTTATGATTTGACTTCAGCTTTCTTGTACCTTGTTTTACCTTTGGCAGTAAAGTTACCATTTCATCACTGTTGTAATGATTGGTCACTAAACAAGTCAGTTGCTAAATGGAGACTACCTGTACTTGCACCTGCTTAAGGGACTATTGAAATACAGCACCATGAAGGCAGTTTCTGCTTATCACATGCACCTGTAGTAAGGGGCGAAGGGAACCAGGATTAATTCCCTTCCTACCAATAGGTCAACTAGCCAGGATGGGATGAAGGGAACCAGGATTAATTCCCTTTCTACCATCAGGTCAACCTACCAGGATGAGGCAAAGGGAACCAGGATTCCCTTCCTACCAATAGGTCAACCAGCCAGGATGGGGCGAAGGGAACCAGGATTAATTTTCTTTGTACCATCAGGTCAATTTGCCAGGATGGGGCGAAGGGAACCGGGATTAATTCCCTTCCTACCATCACGTCAACTAACCAGGATGGGGTGGTGGGAACCAGGATTAATTCCCTTTGTACAGTCAGGTCAACCAGCCAGGATGGGGCGAAGACAACCAGGATTAATCCCCCTCCCGTCAGGTCAACTAGCCAGGATTCAGCCCATCTTACCAATCTGGCCAATGAATTCCACCTTGATGCCCTGGTGCTCCAGCCGTTTGTTGGGGTGCTTGAGGGTTAAAATGACCCTCCCGGAGACGGTCTCGCCGTCGTAAAAGAGGAAATACTTCTCCTTCTTGCCTTCCTCCGTCTTGTGTTCCGCCCGGCGCCTGCTCTCGGCATCGCTCAGCACCAGTTCCAATTCGGCGCTCTGTCCAAACCCAAAGAAGCTCATCTCGGGGCCGGAGAGGAAGGCGCGGGTACCAACCCCACCCCTTCCACGAGGTCCCAACAGGATCCCAGGCCAGGGATGCTCAAGGGATGCTGCAAAGATGCTGAAGCGGCCCCTGGACCACTTTGCTGGACCACTTCAAGCCAGAGATGAGGATGCAGGGGGCGAAGCTTTTTAAGGCTCAAGGCCAGAAGGGACCCCCGCCGGCCGCTGGAGCCAAGGCAGACCCGGACATAAGGGAGCCTAAGGGTTGGGTGGGTGGGGTAGAAAGGGACCCCGAGATGCAGGTGCCAGCTGCAAAGGGGAGGCAGAGGCGCCCGTTGGCGGCAGCCAAGGCAAGGCGGGTGGGCGTGAGAAGGGCAGAGGGCGCAGCTTGCAAAACCGAGGAAGGGGAGGGTGCAAAAACTCCCCGAGAAAAGCGTGCACGGAGAGGCATGCAAAGGAACCAGCCGGGGGAACAAAAAGCAGGAGCCCCCCCCCTCTTTTTTTGAGGAGGGTTGCAAGAGGCTGCTGGAAGGGGATGCTTTGCACGGCGGAGAAGGGGAAAGGGGGTTTGCACGGGGTCGTTGCAAGGAAAGGCCGCAAAAGCAGCGGGGTCAAAAAAGAAAAAAAAATGCAAGGCCCGAACAGCCGGGCCGGCTTCCTCCTAAGTGATGACAGCAGCCCGTCGCTGCGGCAGCCCGCCCGCCGCCCGCCGCCCGCTGCTCCTCCTCCTCCTCTTCCTCCTCCGCTCGGGTTTGCAAGGCTGCAAGAGCTCGCGCGCCGAGTCCCGGACCTAGAAATCGGGCATCGCGCATGCGCCAGTCCCGGGGTTGGGGTGGAAGGAAAAAAAGTGGGGGGGGAGAGGGAGGCGGCTCTTGCACAAGCGCCTCGGCACGGCGCATGCGGGCTTGCCCAAAGGGGCTCGCCCGCCTGGGAACGCCCCTTCTTTGCCCTCTTTTCTCAGCGCGCAAGCGCGCCGCGCGGAGGCCGACGGCTCCGACGTCCCGAGGCCGGCAGGGATTGGCTGACGGGCGGCGAACGCGGCGATTGGTCGGTTCGAAGACGGCAGCGGCAGCGGCGGGGGCAGCCAGGGAGCTGCGCGCGATGGCGGCCAGGGAGCTCTTGGTGGGCGCGGTGGATCGCTGGGGATTGCGGGACGTCGACCGGGGTGAGCTGTGCGGAAGGGGGGAGAATTGGAGCTTCTGGGGTGGGGGGGGGGGGGGGGCGTGGGAAATATAACCTCCAATGAGCGGCAGGGGCTGGGAGGTAAACCAGGCTGGGACTTTGCTTTTCATTGGATGGGGGACCACCAGGAGATCACAGGGCAGGAATGAGCCTGCCGGTTCTGGACCCAAGATTCTTAGCCCCGGGATGGAGGACCACCAGGAGATCACAGGTTGGGAAGAAGCCTGCTGGTTCTGGACTCAGATTCTTAGCCCCAGGATGGGGAACCACCAGGAGATCACAAGGTGGGAAGGAGCCTGCCGGTTCTGGACTCATATTCTTAATTCTGGGATGGGGAACCACCAGGAGATCACAGGGCAGGAAGGAGCCTGCCGGTTCTGCACTCAGATTCTTAATTCTGGGATGGGGAACTACCAGGAGATCACAGGGCAGGAGGGAGCCTGCCAGTTCTGGACCAGGATGGGAGACCACCTGGAGATCACAGGTTGGAAAGGAGCCTGTTGGTTCTGGATTCAGATTCTTAATCCTGGGATGGAGGACCACCAGGAGATCAGTCCTGGCAGCAGAGACTAGATTGAGAAGAGAAAAAGGGGCGACAACTGCTTCCATGCACCTGTCGAAACAACAGCAGCAATCACAAACCTGCCTGGTGGGTTGAGAATCTGAGTATTCAAAGAGCAGCAACTTGCAGGAGGTACATGTAGTCCTTGACTTACAACTGTTCATTTAGTGACCATCTGAAATTACAACAGCCCTGAAAAAAGTGACTTACAACCGTTTTTCACACTTAATGACCATTGCAGCATCCCACGTGGGTGTGGTCACGTGATCAAAATTCAGCCGCTTGGCAAATGACTCCTATTTATGACGGTAGCAGCATCCCGGGGTCATATGACCTGATCTTGTAATCTTCCAACAAGCAAAGTCAATGGGGAAACCCGTTTCACTTAACAACAGTGGCAAGAAAAGTCATAAAATGGAGGCAAAACCCACTTAACAAATGTCTCACTTAACAGTAGACATTTTGGTCATAAGTGAAGGACTACCTGTACGGAATGAAATAGTTCATTATTGAGATGAGTTTGTTGTCCAGGGTTCAAATGCTTGCCATTTCAACCTTGAACCTAGGGAAAATTTGTAGATTATTAGAATCCACATTATAGATTCTATAGAAAAGGAAGTATAAAAATCCTTGGCAGTTCTATAATTGTGTCCCGCCACTTTTTCATTTATTTTTTTCCTTCCTTTTGAGTTTGCAAATCAGCTTGGCAATCCAATCATTTTAGGATTCTTTGCTCTGCACTTTCTTAAGATCGTACCCATTCTGAATGAATCCAGTAGATCCCATTCCTCAGTTTTATCTGTGGCCTTCCTCTTTTACACCTCTTGCTATAAGTATGCTAGATATACTACCTTTTTGGTAGTCCATTGGCATCACTTGGCCAAAGTATATGTGTTCCTGCTTTTCTGAAGGCAAGGAAGCTGTCAATTTGAATTACTACATATACTAGCGTCCTGTCAGTATGTGAGAGAGTTGAGGTCTGTTTGGAAAGTGAAACAGTATTTGCTGTGTGAGCAAGAAGGAGCCTGGGCATGGCTTAGCTCAGCCGTTCTGTACTAAAGCTGTTTGGTGCTGTGAAAGTAAAACTGAAACTGAAACTCCTCTCCTCTGCTTGTGTTTTGTATTTGGAAGAGATTTCTTTTCAGGTGGGGAGGGGGAGTAGAACTCCTTAGCATCAGAGCATGTTAATAATAATATCCAAAATACTAATGCGCTGATGGTCATTTCGAAAAATCCTTTCTTAGTACCTAGAAGCCAAGAGGAATATACGTGCCAAATTTCAAGTTTGTAGGCTTTACAGTTTTGGAGATTTTTTGATGATGCCTATAATAAATACACACGCACACGCACACATACACGTATATATGTGTGTGTGTGTGTGTATTAAGTTTTCACGGGTATTTACATGTATGGTATTCAGCTTTGTTTGGGTATTTTCCCACGCCATTGTAGTTGTGCTTTTAAAGTTGTAGTAACGTTTCGGCAGAATCTCATCTGCCACCAGAAGCCTGATGATGGCAGATGAGATTCTGCCGAAACATTGCTACAACTTTAAAAGCACAACTACAATGACGTGGGAAAATACCCAAACAAAGCTGAATACCATACATACATACATACATACATACACACACACACACACACACACACATACACGTGTGTGTGTATCATATACATATGTACACACACATCACAAACACACAAAGTTATTGGACAAAGCATGAATTATGAAGTCCTCTGAAATTACCAATTATTTTTTATGACTGGAGTAAAAGCATGTTAAATTTGGCAAATTTAAATTCTATTTGACATTCTTTTAAATCCTCATGACTTATCCATACCTTAAAATGATGGAGAAAGCTACATTACAATTGCCTCCTGCATCTACTTTGTGCTTTCTAATATTCTGCTTGGGTGATGGAATTGCATCTTAAAAGAGGAGGATTATTTTTCTTGGTGCCGGCAATTTATAAATAAGATACCTGTTTCAATATTTACCCCGGAATTGCAAAAGCGGATATACAATCATTGGTTTTAATAAGACATTCTAATTTATGCTTCAGCCTTTTTTCTTCTTGCAATTAAATAGACGTTTTAAAAGATAATGACATAGAGAAGGGTGGTAATTTTTTACTCCCTGAATTGCTAGTGAGTCACAAATTTAATCTCACTTAGAGGAGGGGATTTTTTTTTTGTCTTGTTTTTAAAAACAAAAATTACTGTGTATTATTTTAAACATTTATATATCCCTCTTCTAATTATCACAAAGCAGATTATATCATACGTAATAAATCAAAATGCAAGCAGTAAAAGAAAAAAAATGTGTAAACAATTAAATCCTCTTGACATCGCGGGCCAAATGTGTTGAAAGAAGCAGAGGCTCAGCTGTAGGATTGTATCTTGGGTTCAGAAAAAGGAAGGAAAGAGTATTTTATTTTTATTTTATTTTGTTCTGTTTTATATTCTATTCCATTCCATCCTATCCCGTCCTATCATTCATTCCGGTATCCTATCCTATCCTATCCTATCCTATCCTATCCTATTGTTTTCCTATTCCCTATTATATTCTATTTTATTCTATTGTATTGTTTTCCTATTCTGTATTCTATTCTACTCCATTCCATTCCTTGTCTTTATTCTATTCCTATTCCATTCCATTCTACTCCACTCCTACTCCCACTCCACTCATTATCCTTTCCTATCCTAGTCTATTCATTGACTGCCCATCTCACTTACAATTAAAAAACCATAAACACAGAAAATATTGTGTACATTCAGTAGCGCCGTCCTCTTGTACCTTGGCAGTCTTTTCATTTCATCATTGACAGAAGCCTGCATCCTTGCTCTGTTTGAAATATGTACATCTTTCCCCTTTTCAGCCTGGGTTGACACTGTGTGGGAACTGGACTTCACCGAGACAGAGCCTTTGGATTCCAGGATCGAAGGCTTGATAACCGATGACGGTGTGGAGGCTTTTGTGCAGCTTTACAAGGCGCTGTATCCATTTTGTGCAGATGGCCAGGAGACCACGGAAGTAAGGAACGATTCTTTCCCCCTAACAACAATCAGCCAGCTTTATAGGGTCCTCGATTTTAAATCCTAATTACTTAGGCAGTAGAAAGTTGAGAAGTTATTTATCTAATGTGTTCAGATTTTTAAAAAAATATATATATACATACATGCATACTTGTTTTCTTAAGTTTTCGCGGGTACTTACATGTATGGCATTCAGCTTTGTTCGGGTATTTTCCCACGTCATTGTAGTTGTGCTTTTAAAGTTGTAGCAACGTTTCGGCAGAATCTCATCTGCCATCATCAGGCTTCTGTATGAAGCTGTACAGAAGCCTGATGATGGCAGATGAGATTCTGCCGAAACGTTGCTACAACTTTAAAAGCACAACTACGATGACGTGGGAAAATACCCGAACAAAGCTGAATGCCATACATGCATACATACATACATACATCCTGTCCTATTTTCCCCACAACCACCATCTAGGAGGTGAGTTGGGCTGTGACCCAGAGAGTGACTGGCCAAAAGTCAGTCACTCAAGAGGGGACTATAATTCACAGTCTCCTGGTGATTGGCCCAAAGTCACCCAGCTGGATTTCATGCCTAATGCGGGACTAGAACTCACCATCTCCCGGTTTCTAGCCTGGTGTTTTACAGTAAGCCCGCTGTCTTAAAGGTAAAGGTTCCCTTCGCACATACGTGCTATGCATTTCCGGCTCTAGGGGGCGGTGCTCACCTCCATTACAAAGCCAAGGAAGAGCCAGCGCTGTCCGAAGACGTCTCCATGGTCATGTGGCCAGCAGGACTAAACGCCGATAAGGCCACGGAACGCTGTTCCCTTCCCACCAAAGGGGTCCCTATTTTCTACTTGCATTTTTACGTGCCTTTCCACCAGTGATTTAAATCGCAATTTAAATCGACTTGATTTCAATCGAATCCACCCCGCTGACACCAAAAATGACTTTATGTGATCCTACTATCAGCTTGTTGTCTTTTCATTTCAGAGCATCTGGCCCATTTTGGTGGAAAATAACCTCTCCCCTAATGGCATGGTCGCTGTGTTGCATCACTTTGTCCAAGAGGCCCAGAACAGAAAGGCCAACACACAACGACGCCTGTTTGCCCTCCACGCAGCCGGGTTGTATTTTTTATTAGTTGAAATTCCCGGTAGGTCTGTGAACCGCTTGTGTTGTGCTTTGACCCATCTCAACAAGGTAGCATTGAAACGTCAGCTCCACCAATGGTCGCAGTACCGCTGTCTGTGAGGGTTTGGAAATGAACAATCAACCAAGGGAGCTCGTACAGTCATGGGGTTTCTCCTCGCTCTCTTCTGGCCTATCCTTAGGACCTGTAGACCTGATTTAGACCCGGGATTCTCAATCTGATTTAGATTTAGACCAGCGTTCAGACCAATCTTAGCAACTTGAAGATGTGTAGATTCAACTCCCAGAATTCCTCGGGGAATTCTGGGAATTGAAGTCCGCACATCTTCAAGTTGCCAAGGGTGACAAACATGGATTTAGATGCATGTGGCGTGCATAGGCCAGTCTTAGAAAGGCAAAACCTGACTACCGTGTTTCCCTGAAAAATAAGACTCTGTCTTATAATGTTTTTGGCCACCAAAAAAGGCACCAGGTCTTATTTTCGGGGGAAGTCCTCCACTGACTAACCTCACTGGCACGCGTCTTCCCCCGGCCTCCTTTTCACTGTCAGAGGCCTTCAGGAACTACTTCTGTAGCTGGCAAGGTTTTCCTGAAGGCCTCTGCAGCCAATAACAGAGTTCTAGATTGATCCAGAGCTTTGTTATCAACTACAGAGGCCTTCAAGAAAGCCTTGCCTGCCTTGCTGGCTGCAGAAGAAATGGGCCGGCAAGGCAGGTGTCAGGGTGTGTGAGGGCTGGCTACAACTGTCCAAAGGTAAGTAGTAGGGCAGCTCCACCTCCACATCCCCACCCTTGCTTAATTTTTACCTGTTCCACTCTGGAGTGAGTGGGAACTTAATTAGGGCTTATTTTGGGGGGTAGAGCTTATATTGGGCGCACATGTAAAAAAAATCAAGCTAGGACTTACTTTCAGGGTAGGCCGTATTTTCAGGGAAACAGTCGTAACGTGTGAACTTGGTAAGGCTTCCTTAAGTCATCCATTCATTAGGATCAGAAGGGAAAAACAACTTCAGTCCTGTAAGGCAGAAAGACTTTAGTGAAAATACCGTGCTGTTGTAACACCATCACACCTAAGGGAAAGTTGTACTCAGATTCTCATTAAGCTATGGCCAATCTCGTCTCATCCTCACTAACCAATATTTGTGGGGAAAATGGTATGGAAGAAAGAGATTTGGGGAGGAAGAGGAGATAGATAAGAAAACCAATAGAGGTATCTAGGTTCTTAAGGAGGTATCCGCAAGAAGGTTTCAGGCTTGCAAAACACCTGATCATATTGTGTTATCAATTATGGTTTTTGTGCTCCGTTAAGCTGCAGGTGACGTGATTAAAAAAAAAAAAGTAGTTTACCGTTAATATGCAAACGGGTCTTTTTGGCAGGCAGCATAGCCAACCAGATATTGCACCCGGTGATGTTCGAGAAATGCCTTCAAACCTTGTCTAAATGTTGGCCTGAGGAGTTGGATTTTCCCAGGAAAAGGAAAAAGAAACAGAACAGAAACTTGATGGGCGAGAGAAAGAAAGGAAAGCCCGCAAGAAATGAAAACCCTCCGGTAAAAATAATACAAATTTAACACTCCTTATCAAAAGCGTTATATTTTGTCGGTTTTCAGGCTCCTTGGTTGATTTGTCTTTTTTGGTGTATTCCAGTGTTCAGTACAGCAGTTGAAGGCCAGATCTTCTAGATCAGGGGTGTCAAGCTCAATTTTGATTGAGGACCGCATCAGGGTGGTATTTGGGGGGAAATGGGCGTGGCCAGGGTGGGCACGGTCAGCTCGACATCACTTGTGTCGGGGCCACCTGTGCTGGCCAAGTGCTAAGGCAGGACTTCTCTCAGACCCTCTCATTATTATCTTCCTTTCCTTTCCCTCCATTCCTTTCCTTCTTCCTTCTCCTCCTTTCTTATTTTTTCCTTCCTTGCTCTCTTCCCTTCTTTTTCTTTGTCTTTCCTCTTTCCCCTTCTCCCTTCTTGCACGCCCAAATGCAAAAGGGGAAACATTTCTCTTTTGGGCTTCTTTGATCAGTTTGGTTTGCTAGCCCTCTGCCGGCGAAAACGGAGCTCCGTTTTCTCCGGCAGAGCCACCGCTGTCCGACCCTTTGCTGTTTCCGTGACGGCCAGATCTAAGCACTTGTGTTTGACACCCCTGCCCTAAATCAATTTTCCCCAATTGAGGGGGCGGGGTGGGGGCGCCATCGTGGACCAGTTTGGCAGAAGACCATTTTTTCACAGACTGGGGGTGTGTGCCATCGAGATCTCGTTTATGCGCAGATGAAGTTTGCTCGCTCCTAACGGAGTCTTCAGACCGGTGATTGGGGTGCCCCGGTTCTAGCCTTAACAAGCCTTCTGTTGCTTATCTTTGCTGCATCAAAATAATGGACAATACAGGTAGTCCTCCACTTACCACCACAGTTGAGCCCAAAATGTATGTTGCCTAAGGGAGACATTTGTTAAGTGAGTTTTCCTCTCCTTTTATGACTTTTCTTGCCACAGTTCTCAAAGTCAACTGCAAAATCATTGCCGTTAAGTCAGTAACTTGGTTGCTAAGTGAATCTGGCTTCCTCACTGGCAGTCAAAAAGTCACAAAAGGGGATCAACATGACCCAGGGAAGCCCCCCAAATATTGGCAAAATATACACATCTGGATAGAAGAAATGTGTGGAATGAAAATAGAATACAGACTAGAGTTTTTTTTCTGCTAGGGATCAACACGAGGAAATACGATAAAGAAAATATATCTCTAATAATCCATGTCATAACTGCAGCAAGATTAGCGTTTGCACAGAATTGGAAAAGTAAAGATCTCCCAAATGAATTTGAAATATTGAGGAAAATTATGAGATGCGCAGAAATGGATAAACTAACAAAAGAGCTAAAAAATAAGGAAGATTTGGATTATTATAAAACATGGGACAGATTTATGGTTGGCTAGAGAGGAAGAAGATTCATGCTAATAAGGAATGATTATATGTATATTTAATGTGTATGAAATGAAATGATGTAATATTATTGGATTGAGCAAAATAAGGACAAAGATTGATGTCAGGAGGACTGTACCAGGTTCAACATTTTTATTGTAATTTCTGTTTCTGTTTGTTTAATCAAGGAACTTTTTATAAAAAAAACAAACATAACCCGGGGACATACGGCAAGCGTCATAACTGTGAGTCCGGTGTCAAGCATCCAAATGTCAATCACGTAACCGTGGGGATGCAACGGTCATAAGTCTGAAAAATCAGTTTTATGCCACTTCCTTCAGTGCTGTTGGAACTTCAGTCACTAAGTAAACTACCTGTAGTACCTGCCCCCAGAAGTTTATTTTTATTTTATTTATTTTATCAATTTAGGGACAAATTGATAAATCCCATCACACTCTCATAGAGAGTGGTTCAAGGCCAATTCCTATCAATTAATGAGAATGACCGCCTGGCAATACCAGGAAGTTGCAGAGCGGTGCGGTGGCCTAGAGGTGGAGCTCTCGCCTCACAATCAGGAGGCTGCGAGTTCGATCCTAGGTAGAGGCAGATATTTCGCTTCTCTGGACACACTGAGAATGTCTCTGCTGAACAAAACTCCGCACTGGCAACAAGAAAGGCATCCGGCCAGTAAATACTCAGCTCCATTCAGTTGTCCACCCCACAAAGGGATTATTGGGATCATTAAAAGATGATGGGTGATGAATACCAGGAAGCTGCAGCTTCTGAATCTTGCTTAACCGACCGGTGGTCTTTCTCTCCCCGCTGTTCTAGACGGAAGACATCTTTGAAGAGGAAGACGTTCAAGAAGACATGTACTTCTCTGCCCGGGAGCTGCTCGAAATTCGTGAGGCCCTCTTCCTCCTGCTGAGGAACCTCCTGAGGCTTTTTTCCAAGTTTTCCCTGAAAGAGAGGCCCCAATTTGTGCAGGCCTGTATTCAGGTGACTGCGATCTCTTCGCTTAAAGTGGCAGGATGGCCCCTCTTCCCTTTATGCTCGTGCGGCCTGGTCCCCTGACTTACGACCAAAACTGAGTTCAGGATTTCCACTGGCGGCTTTCCATCAAGCGTAGACCGGATTTTAGGGCCTCTTTTGCCGCAGTCGTTAAGCCGTTGTTAAACGAATCGAGAGGTTATTAAGCAAACCTGGCTTCCCCAGGTTGACTTTGCTTGGGACTGGGAAGGACATAGGGGGTGATCACCTGTCTGCAGGATGCTGCAACCATTGTAAATACCTGTTGCCAAGCACCTGAATGTTGATCACCTGATGGCGGGGGAGGCCATTACGGTCATAAGTGCAAGAATTGGTTGCAGGACACTTTTTCCAGTGCCATTTGTTAACTTCAAATAGTCACTAAATGAATGACTGTAAAGTCAAAGATTACCTGTAATCAGATCAGTGTTTTTTTTTGTCAACACTTGGCTGTCAGGATTCCAGCAGTTACCCTCAATTAAATCATGAATCTCAAGCCAAACTTCCAAATCTTAAAAAGGATTTATTGGGTGTTAACATGTCCGGCACTGCCTGGGTATAGCCGACTCTGAGACACATCATTCATTGTCACCCTTGACCCTGGTTTTCCCCTACTCCACTCTCTGAGTGTATCGTAATTCATATTCTCCAATGGGATACATCCATAGCCCAGAGTCATCAATCATTCTCTCCAGTTAGAATTTTGCGCGGCAGAAACTTCAGTCACCTAGTGACTATCTTTGAAAACATTTATGGAATGCAGTTTCGGTTTGGCAAGTTGCTGCACTGCTCCACCCTCCCTTTCTGTCGGCAACTCTAAAAAGACCAGAGAAATATTTTATGAGTTGACATTCGCAACTGCAAGTTGTGTCAACTTCAACTCCGAGAATTCCCCATTTTTATAATCCCATAATATTTGTCCTGATAAGGGAATGTCAGTGTGACAATTTCCCTCTTCTGTTTGTTTGACAGTAGAGATTTGAATGAATGAAAGAAAGAAAGAAAGAAAGAAAGAAAGAAAGAAAGAAAGAAAGAAAGAAAGAAAGAAA